ATACTCTCTCTCTCTCTCTCTCTCTCTCTCTCTCTCTCTCTCTCTCTCTCTCTCTGTACAAACTGCATATTATTACCCTTTTAAAATCCCGCATTAAAAAACATTGGTCTCTGTCTCTTATATTTCTCTTTATACAGCGCTATCGCAATAATAAATTGAATTTTAAATAAACTAGAAAATATATCGCATAAGTACGTTCAGGGTGATTAATCAAGATGGAACTCTTTTAGCGAAAGCTCTTACGGCATTTGAAACAGGGAGACAGTAAATGACTCGATTTCTAACGACAGTGACGTAATCGAAATGAGCACGCGAGCCCTTTCGACGACGTCGCGGAACACGTCCTCCGTACGTAAGTGCTTTTTGTTCTTATCGGCTATTCTCTCTCCTCGGCTTTCGACTCTCTATCGATGTGCGCACTCGAAGCGAACGCCGGAAAGTGGTTACAGTCCGTGTTAGTACTGCCGGTGGAGGGAAGAGTTGTTCCTCCGACGTGGAAACACGTCGGACACGCGAGGTTAGTTCTATCTACCCTTGCACATCGTGCTGCCATCGTGCTGCAACCATTACGCGACAAAAATTCCTTCGGAGAAAAAGACGAAAAAACAATAACCATGAAGATTGTGATTTTCGCGATAAAAGGTATATATTCTCTGTTGCACCTTAGAGTATCGAACAAGCTCAGTAAATTATCTTTTAGAAATTGAAAGAGAAATATATTATTATAGTTCTCTAATTTTTCATATTAAATGTAGCATTATATATTTCGTCTTAATAGTAAAAAGATTCGAGAATAAAATAAATTAACACATTCAATGGCATGTGTTATTGGATATTTTAATTTTTCTATTTAGTTTTTAAATTCTTCATATGATAAAATAAAAAATATTATGTTTGTTTTTTTATCTCTAAACTGTGAAATGGCAGTAGTTTTCGTTTTGAGATATAAAAAAATATTGATATAAAAAAGTAAAATAATCTGAATAGTTTATGAATAATAGCCATATATCTAAATTAAAACATTCAGCCCATAATCTCTAAATCATCTAATTTAAGTTATTAAAATAGGTATCAGCAGTTTACCTTCTGACATAATGCGCTTTTCTGATTTACCTTTTTATAAGATCTCCTCAAAGGAATCTATCATTTCCTGTGCAATATCCATAAAATCTTATATGCCAGAAAAAGTTGAGGTGATTCAAAGGAGGATCGAAGGTAATAATCATGACGTCGAATTAGCGCCAAGAATAATGGGATCTGGAGTGAACTAAGAGAATAGCTACCCTAGGAAGTTTCGATAGACGAGATATCGAGGAACCCCGAGCCGCTTCTGAGCTTTTCACGGAGCTCTTAAACGGCCATTATCGGGCTCGAGTTCGCGAGGGCAACCTTTCCGACGCAGCTCCGAAGAAGAATTTCACAAGAACCTGCCTTGTGACAGGTATCAAAACCAACAAAATCGAAAGATGATGTTGGATGGAAAATTAACACGCTTAAGACGACAACGACTTTTAGAGGAATAAAACTTAAATAAATTCTTCCTGCTCTCATTCTTGTCTCTAACGGATCACTTGACTCTATCATTTTATTAGTTATTCAATCTCCATTTTCTTGTACAATTTTCGATAATCAAAAAAACTGCGGACGAAATAACGAAAAGTAGATCATTATAATTTGTTTATGTATACAAAATTAAAAATTAATCTTCATATTGAAACATTCAAATAACATAAAAAGTCATAATTTATTAATCATAATTATATATATCGTATTTATTAATTATTGTTATACTATAATTTATTATTATCGTAAACAATTATATCGTAACAATTATAACTATATTAATATTGCTTCTATGCATTAATTTGTATTTCAACTTTAATATCGCATTTGGAATTGGAAACATTTATTCGTTGAATTAGTAAAACAAAATGTGTAAAATATAATAAAGGCAAATACATAATATTCCGCGTGTGTTTCCGTGTTCGGAGCTATTTCGTAGCTTCGCAGGAACTTTCCCAAAGAGACATTGCAACAACAAACACGTCTTCAATGTCTCGAAGTGGAGATAGGGATCCTGTTCTCTAACAAGTTTTCGTGAAACACGAAAAGGCGACGGGCCGTTTACGAAACGGAGGCAACGAATTTGTCGAAAGCTCGCTCGCAACGAAACACGCTTCCGGAATTTTAGGTCAATCGCTCGCGCAACTTCCTCCCCGAATAAACGTGCCGCCCATGCCACGTAAAGTATACGTTGTTCCTGCTTCGACCGCCAAATGTCTTCGACCGGACTGGCTTATGGCACGCGGGTCGCTTAATTTGCCTTAAGTGCGCTAATCGATGAAAATGTACCTCCTCTCCCCTTCTCCCCATTTTTTTTTATCCTTCCACTGCACCGCAAGTTGTACTGAGGAAGTTTTGAATAGATAGTTACTTGTACTTTCGTTGACAGTGCTTTGCAAGTTCACGAGCGGAAAAGACTCCCTTTTAGAACGTTATTTGCCCGACAAGAAGTCACACTGTGTTTCTCCCGACGTTTCGATGTTGTCTACTCAAACATCGCGGACAAAAAGGATTTGGAGAAAGAAAAACGGAGAACTTTACAATGCCGAGAATCGATGACGCCGCGAAAAGTTACGTATACGGTATTAACGAACAAAAACTGGCTAATTAACTTAAGAGACAGTAACTTCTAAATAAAGAAAAGTAGAGAAAAGTTAAACGTGGATATATTTTATTTGTAGTAGTTAATTAGTAGTAGTTTAACGTAGAATCAAGGTCTATTATTACATTCCTAATTTCATTTCGTATTCATGACGTTATGCTTACGGATCGATATATACAAATTATGAAGTAATGACTGATTGTCCCCATAAACGCGAGATCATTTTTCACCGGTTGTTAATTGAAATGCATTTTCCGTCCACAAGCCAGTTTACGTATGCATTCAATTCCGAGGGAATGTTCGCACAATACGATTATTACATGCGCCAATAAATGAACAGTAAAAAATATTTTTGAACAGCTATAATGAAAGCTTATGTATCGATAGAAATTTGTAATTGAAATGTACAATAAAATGGTGTATAATTTCACATTGTTAATAATAACTAAAAATTATAATTATTTGAATAAATTTACTAAAATATACTTTATATCTTCGTTTATCAATATAAATTAAATAGATATTTTATAACTTTGTAAATTTGTTCAATTTTTATTTTTTACTCGATTGCATATTAAATTATACAATCATCATAGCAATAAAAGAAATAATCGATATGTAAAATATGTTTCATAAAACTGTTTGTTGTTAATTTAAAAATATATAAATAAAAAGTTTGGTAAATAGAAAAATGGAAATAGAAAACTGATCAATTTTTAGTAAATTTAAAGTTCATAGTACTAGGGTACATAGTACGTCAATGAAAGCGATTAATCAAAAAACTAACGAGCCGAAAAGCTATTGATTTCGTTTGAACGCAATCCTTTCGAATGCAAAAAGCATATTGTTTTATTCGCATACGTTTATTGAAAGCCAGCTATTACGTTCTATAGCAATCACTTGGAGGTAGATGGAGTCGGATAACATGAAGCGTAGCACATTTATCCCTTCGACTGTTAATGTTTTACATTCGGAACGGAAAATGCTTTTGCGGCTTGCCTATCAACGCATTGTCAATATAATTTCGACGGAAGCTTATTGGCGCTGACAGTGACGCTGTGTATTTGATTTTCTGCGGTGACTGTTATTTAACTTTCATAATATTACAACCGGAAACACTGGTGATATAGATGTCCAATGTATTTACAAATGAAGCCTGGTGTTTTTTTTTCCAAGCCGCATCTTTATTTTCTTGTTATATTTACACAACTTTTATTTGCTGGCTTGTATTGGCATTATGTTGAATTAAATTAAAATAAAAATACAAATTAAAATACAAATAATAATAAAAGTAAAAATTGTGGCGAATTAACAAAAAATTTTTAAAATCTATTTCTGGCAAACATTTCGTATAATAGTAATATATCTAAATATTATAGTTAAATCAACTGTATCGCTTTTGGTTTGATAAATTTATCAATATGAATATCTATCGATATTCGTATTGATAAACTTGTCAAACCAAAAGTATATAGATTTATTACCGTGTTCATAAGTTAAATATTGGAAATAGCTGTTTCATCTACTATGAAAAACACATATAATTGATAATATTTCCTGCAAACTGTATTAATATACATTATAAAAAATAATAAATTATAACGATTTCTAAGTAATTAGATGGTTAATTTTAGAAAACAATCCATTATCCATTTAATCAATCTTTTAATAACAATTGCATATATATAAAATTTGCATTTTTATATCATTAAAATTTTCAATCAAAAAAATTCTATCAGTGTGATAAGAAATTTTGTTTAAATTCTGTTTAAATTATAGCTAGTTATAAAATAAGATAATTATTGTTGTTTTCTCAAAAATAACAATATTAAGTTTAATTTCTTTTATAACAGAGATAAGATATTAATATGCAATTAATATTGTTTAATAAAATTTTTAATATGTTTGACGTGTGCAATTTAACGTTGCATGTAATTTAACGTAGCAATCACTAACGTAGCAACAAATTTGAGAATTAATCAGAATTCGTTTGAAAATCGGAAAAAAAACGGAGAAAAAAATATGTATCTTCAGATGCGAAATTAAACTTGACAGGGGAACACGATTAAACTCGCACGGGCCACACCTCTGGATAATCTCCGATTTTTCGAAGTCTAACACACTTAACACTCTAAACGGCTACTATTCATTCGCGTATCAAACACCACCCGGAAGATAAACGGAATTGAAACCGTTACCTGAGCCGTCAATCCTTTAACACTCGATCAAAACGCACTGCCAGATGCAGCTTGCACACACGTTACACGCATCACGGCACCGCTGCGACAGATCGTCCTGGCGCCAACGTCACTCCTGTCGTTGCCGTCGCCGTCGTCGTCGTCGTCGTCGTCGTCGTCGTCGTCGTCGTCGTTGTCGTCGTCGTCCTCGTCTTCGAATGCCGTCGCGAACACGTGGTGTCACGAGCTGTCATCGGCGGTCGTGACAATTTGCGACCCTCTCGCCACTATTCACTGGATCCTGGAAGCCATCCCCTCGCCGCATCGTCCTCGAGCGTGTGTCGCATCGTGCCACGCATCTGCCGAGTCACACCGCCGAAAAAAAATCACGCACGACTCTGCTCTTTTTTTCTCTCTATTATTGGCCAACACCGCCTAAACGTCACTCTGCGAGATAAACACCATCCCTTGGCGGCGGGGGAGGACGTCGTCGTTCGGATATCGACGTCACGGTGGAGCGAGAACTCGCACTCGCGGTCTCTCCGCACTCGAAACAAACTACTCCTAACGCGTTTAAGATTTCTGATATCGTTACCCAGCAGAGAGGATTCGCGATTTCCGAAGGATCGCGGGACTCGATCCTCCCACGCGATAGACGATACGCGCGCGTCGAGCTCCGCGATGTCACTGGATGCTGCCGGCGAACTTTCGCGCACGGACAAACCTACCCCGATCTATTCCCACCCTTGCTACCTCTCCTCCTCCTCCCGGTCGGGGCGCTACCCATCCCGCGCCGCGTACACATGCAGACTCAACTCCCTCCCCCGTATGCCGACACCCGTGCTTCGTGCAAGCTCGATAATCTTCGTGCGTGCCCGCGAGCTTCAATCGGCGCATGGGAGTGAACATGCTACAGGGGTAACAGAATGATCAGGAGGCAGTTTGAAAAAGAGAAAAATGTGCTTTCCCCCAATGTCCACTCGAAAAAGCAAGAGGCGATGGATTAGTGAATGACTAATGAATATATATATATATATATATATATATATATATATATACGCATGTTATATTTGGAAAACAAGCAATTAACAAGAAAAATAGGAGTCTATTTGTAATTGTTACATGTACTATATAATTTTTGAAAAGTTTAATAATATTTATTATATAATTATGTATAAAATATTATTAGTACGCTTCCATCACTTTATCCATCACTAACTAGATAATTTTTAAATCCCAGCTATACTAAATAAAATTAAAATTGGAGTGAAATTCATCACACGTTATTTTTTCAAAGGCATTGTAAAAAGAATATATATATTTTTTTATATATATTTTTATTGCTAATATTTTCGCACACTTTTTAGAGCTACTTTCATGCATCAGCATTGAAAACGGATAATAATTGTCATCAAGTGTTAAAAGTCGGTAATGTTTTTCAGAATTCCTATAAATTATTAAATTCATAATTAATTAATTGAGTCATCAGATTTGGAACAAGCGAATTCATTGAGAGAGTTGATATTATGGCGGACGAAAGAGATAAGAAATAGGATGCACGATAATTTCCACGTTTCCACGTCGACCAAAGCTATTACTTGACGATAATTAAGATCGTCCATCGGATTAAAGCTAATATTTACATAGATGATAAATGTCGCGTATTTACGATAAATACTCGTTTTATTTATCATCTATATAATTTTGTTATTTGTTAATATTTTAACATTATTTATCATTACCATTTTACGTATTATTATTATATTACTTATATTATTTACTGAAATAAAACTACTCTGTATACAATTTTCTCGTATCGAAGACGATGTTTGCTTTATAAATGCTTTACTTTGAAATTTATCGATAATTGTAACAATTTGATATATATCAATTTCATATATATCAATTCTCAATAAACGTATTATAAACAATTAATGAATTTTATCGACGAATAATAGTTTATGAATTCGATGCTTGAAATGCATAAAATAATTCTGTCTGATTGGACGTTCGTATTAATGAGGTTTAAAAATAATAACGGATTTCGATAAAAACGTCGTAAGAACATAAGCGGATTTGACTCGATGTATCAAATCGGCTAGCATTTCGATAGACACGCGAATTTTTCAATGTTTTAAAACGATTTATACATCTTTCAACATGGTGCATCCATCAATCTCTATGGGATTATCATAAGAAATCGACACATTAAGAATAAAGAGAATAAAGTCTCTAAAATAGATCCCATTCTTTGAATTGTTTGTACAAGTAAAGCTGAGAATAATTACTGTTCATTACTAGTTAAAAACGTAGATCCAAATTGCCATAGGAAATATGCTCTTGCTTTAATTCAAAATTATCATAATATAATAAGTGTCTTACGAAAAATATTACAAATGCGAGTAACTAAATTTTATCTTCTCTAACTATCTCTTTTCTTCTATAAAATCTTCTTATAAAATTGTTAATGAAACAATCCCAGTTATATTCGAGTAGCAGGTTACCTTCTCCGCAATAAATTATTACAAAATATAATATAAATTAGGATTTCTTCTTTGAAATTTAAACTCATCCTCTTCTTGTTGAATATTCCGAAAGTCGCGAGGCGAATCAAATCGGAAGATATTTCATCCCCGGCCCGTCCCGGCAACCGTCGTGCGTCGGAAACGCGCGACGAAAAACTTTCTTACTTCGGACTTTGACGAGCCAATTTGCGTTATAATCACTCTGGTTTTCGGAATCGCTCGGCGTGCAAGGGGCGAACTTCGAGCTAGCGAGCGCTAACGAGCAAGTCCGTCGCTCGTAATTAGCGCTTTCCAAAACTTAGGTAGGAAACGTCGACGGCCGACTGGAATACAGCGCGATTGCGGGCGGATGCGGGAGGATAGGCGCGAGAGCCGGGAAAGGGCTCTCCATCCGGTGAGGAGGTGTGACCATGTAGAAAGTAGCTCGTTACACGCACCACCGCGAGGAGGTGCTAATTACCGTATCAATTGACCGTTCGTTAGGAGCCGGACGCAGTTTGCGCGGCTCCGATCGCGATCGCACATGTGACCGTCCGACCGGCGACGAGACGCCTTTGTGATGCGCGAATCAAATCCGCACCGCATCGAGATGCGATATCCGTCATAACGTGTTCCCCGTGCTGCTTGCCATCAAGTCGCGATACCCCGGCTCAGAAACCTAACTGCGAAACCTTCCTCGCGACTATATCGCGATAGAGACTTCGAGCGGGTAACTTCATTCCGGCGGCTCGTTTATAGTTATATGGCTTTGTGATTGGCTGCGTGAGACGTGAGACGCGTCATCGGGGAATATGGAAATGTTTCTGTCTCCTCGCGTGATGCACATAAAACTGGTGAACACGTCGCAACGCATCGCGACGACGGTTGCGTTTCAACGCAACCGATAGATGTTGATAATTGCAATTATATTTTGTTTCTTTATTTATATAGTACGTGGTAGGTTGGTTTAACGTGTTTTACATCTTTCATTTTTTTATTTAAATTATGTTTTAAAGTTATGTTTTATGTGTTTTGCAATCTTAGAGCGGATTACAGGCTCGAATAGATTTTTCTATCTGTGCACTTATCAGCACTTTCAAAATTCATGTGCGACATCGCTGTCATCGATTCGCTAATCGAAAATGACTGCGAGAGCGATATATACGTGTTTGAGATCTTTGATCAAGGTGATATCGAATTTGCAATTGGGCATGCGCATGTCAGCTCGAGACACTCGAAATATGCGAATGCGAACGCAAATATGAGAAGACACTCGCAGCCTGGATATTATCTCAGCGAACGAATATAAAGGAAAATGACGAACGTGACATAAATATGCATCACATTTTTACGTTTTGGAATGTTGATAAGCGTGAGATGTTAAATTACACTTTATTAAAAATATTTTAGAAATTATAAATTAATATTTCTACGTAATATAAAATTTTATAAAGAATAATTATCATATAAAGTGTGTTGTGTTATATAAAAATTGACGATTTTTTGATCTTTGCAAAACTTTGCAAAAGTATTTTTAATCACATTACTAATTATATTATTAATCGTACAATTTCCTTTTTATCTTTGTATGTATGTATGTCAATCATTTCACGTACTTTTTGTTTGTCCTTCGACTCTCTCGATATACCGTATAGTAGATCTAGTTCTAGTCTAGGACAACATTCAACTTTCACAATGTTCACTTTGAGGCAGTGGCTTCACATGATTGCGCACATCGGTGGCTTTCTGATTGCGAAGGACAAGCGTTATCAATTCTGTTCCGAGGCAACATGTACTTCTCCTTGTGTACATAAACATACATATGTATAACTACTTATGTATAGTGAGCGAGGTAAATTCATACGTTCCGCCATGTCATACTATGAAGATTCGCAAAGGATAGGACTTGTTTCTTAACTCGCATGAATTCAACAGTAATCCTTCCTTTTACGAGCTTAAACTGAGCTAATGCTCGAAGGTTAAATCACGCTACGTGCCTGAAACTCGAAGAATTTCCGTGTTTTGGAATTTCGGAAGTTAAAGCCGGTCAATATTCAAGTTCGCTTGTTGGATAACCGATAACCGAATATTTTGTCTTACATGATTACTTAATTACATGATTACTTAATGCATATTTTTGTATATAATAAAAATATTTAAAATTTAAAATCACATTTAAGAATATAAATATAACAAATAATTAATTAATATTAAATATCTCAATTAATTTCGTGTTCTTTCTCATATATTAATTTACAAAATATCATATTTTCATCGTAAAATAATAATACTGTTTGGAACATTTGCTATTGTTAATTCCTTACAAAAATATAAAAATATTTTCTATTAATTAAATGTTTCAAAATTCTGGTAAATTGTAACCTTGATAGAAAATCAATTTTTTACTTAGTGATGAAAACATTTTTTATTCGCATCAGAAGACAGACGGGGTTCACTTGCGATATCATCGCATATAAGAAGGATATATCTCGAGTCAGGATCTTTCTTTCGGATTTTCTGATTGAAATCTGGAAATCGAAAGAACTTCGCCAGCGAGTGTTGCTCTTCGTGCTCGAGACCGTGTGAGAGAGATTGGCGATCTTTTTCATCCGGACTCGGACGGCCAAATTATATTCAGATAATTTGACTCCCTTCAAATCCCGCATGCGGTCGCGTACGGAAAAATTTCGAAGCGAACCCCGATCGTCCGAAGGGGGACCCGAAGGAGCCGATCTTACTGAAGGCTTTACTTCAGCGCCGTCGACTTCGTAAGCGCTCCCGAAATCCTTGCGCGCGGTAGAAAGGATTGGATCAGCGATTGGAATTCTGAATCCGGCGAAATCAGTGAGGCGAAAACGCTCGATACGGCAAGTTCGAGATCTCTCGGTCTATGAGAAGTGCGAGAGTAAGGCGGAAAATCGCCAGGGCGGGGAAAAAAGGACAAAAAACAAGCGGACGTTTTGCGCGGAGCGAAATAACGAGCGTTTGCGAGAGACGAAAGGAATTTAATGCGTGAACGCGCGTTAGACGTTGCACTTCTCGTTCGACGTTTCCTGCTCAGCATCCATGAACTCGTAATGGCCATCATTCCTCATTCGTCAAACAACCGTATCGCGAAAACGCGAATATCGAACAGAATCGAAAAATTCACGTGGCAGAGTATTTCTATCCGGTATAATTATTTGGCAGAACAACTTTGGC